ATTGATAGGTATAAAAAAAGGCTAATTTGTTTCATAGTCACAAAAATAAAAAATAAAACAAAAAGATTGTGAGGTAAAATCAGACAAATATTTTGACAACAATACATAGACAAAATCCTGCTTTTAAAAAATATTCTAAAGGAGCGGAAGAGGCGAAGAGAAACCCGGAAATGGACACTTCATTGCATCAGTCAGCGCATGCGCAGAACCTGAGAGGACTCATGCGGGTGTGTTGACTGAGCTGACATTTCATTCAAAGGTACAGTTGCGTCTCGTGAAGCTTTTAAAGGAAAAAAATCACCGATTTCTTAAAAACTAACAGAACATAATAATTTAGCGCTGTGTGTTGCGCCGCAAACAAAACTGACAGTGAAAGTTCAGAGAAAGTGCAGATTTAGTTTGACAGAGAAGCTAAAGCTAGCATAGCCTATCTTTCTGACTTTTCTGTAGTTGACAGGTGGTAGAAATCAGCTTAGCAGCTCGTGAAACAAAGTATTGAGCTCACAAAATGTTTTCGTTTTAAAGCGAATATTTTTGGAAGTTGTATTAAAGCTACTTAAAAATTTTAATTGAATATAACTTAATTCTTTAAAGAGTAAACCTTAAGTATGAATGATTTGTGCAGCTCGCCTTAAAATGTACAAAAGCACCAACTTTGGCCTTTCAAGTACACAGATAATTGTTGTATTTTATTACATGTTGTTTGAAACCCTTCAGKGATCTGTAGAAATAACCGTATTTCTGTTCTTCAGAGATGGCCACTCTGTACGTGTCCCCTCACCCTGATGACTTCAGGAGTCTCCTGGCTCTTGTTGCTGCAGAGTTCTGTCCATCTTTTCGCCCGCAAATCATCACAGAGGACCCACCAGCATCCTTGAATGCCCGGTCCAGACCAGCTTTGGTTTTGCCTGCCGGGCAGGGTGACCCGGTTCTGAGTGGGTCTGGTGCTGTGTCTTGGTACCTGGCTTTTCAGGGGAAGAGAGCAGGTTTAGATTCAAGGCAGCAGAGCCAGGTGTGGCAGTGGCTCAGCTTTACGGACAATGAGCTCATCCCTGTTTCCTGTGCCGTGGTATTCCCTCTGATGGGGGTGAATGGAGTGGACAAAAAGGTACCTTCTAAACTTTTTACAGTCTTGGAGCTATGTGTGAATTAAGTCTGTAAAGTCGTCTTTTCTGACRTGTGTTTTCAGGTCCAGCAGAGTTCTCGAGCAGAACTCATGCGTGTTCTAAAAGTTCTCGATCAGACCCTGGCACCAAGAACTTTCTTGGTGGGAGAAAGCATCACCTTGGCTGATATGGCTGTAGCCACAGCTGTTCTTCTACCCTTCAAATATGTACGTATGTAGTGCAACACAATTACTGAAAGTCGTCTCTACTGCTGGGTTTATGTGTTTTATTGTTTTTGTTTTCAGGCACTAGAGCCTTCAGACAGGAAATCATTGATTAATGTTACCAGATGGTTCACAACCTGCATTAATCAGCCACAGTTCCTGAAGGTGTTGGGTCAGATCACGCTTTGTGAGAAAGTGGGACCGGTGGCACAAAAACCAAATACTGCTGGAGTTACAAAAGTTACAAACACCTGTCCTGCTGTGGACTGTTCAAACACCACAACTAATGGTAAACAAATCCCATTCAAGTATTTGYTCAATGTTTTGTGTACCACTATACAGTATATAAACTAAGTTTGGTTTTGTTTCTTCCTTCAGGTCCACCAAAGACAGAAGCACAGCTGAAAAAAGAAGCAAAGAAGAGAGAGAAGCTGGAGAAGTTCCAACAGAAAAAGGAAATGGAGGCAAAAAAAAAGACTCAACCACCAACAGAGGTAGGGTGCTCAACTTTAAAACTTAAATTCGTGTAAGAGTTTTGTTTTTTGATTGATTCTGAGCTACATTGCTTTTTCTCRCAGAAAAAGGCCAAACCTGAGAAGAAAGAGCTCGGGGTGACCACATACAACATCCCCACCGCTGCTGGAGACAAAAAAGGTAAGCAGTCTTTTTGACAACCTTTTTTTTAACTCACTAAATGAATGATCTCTTTTGAGAAATGTCCACGTAGGTAGTTAGATCAAGTTTATTATAAGAATAAAATACATGAAAAC